CCGCTCCCAGCCCACCCGCCCAGATGCAGCCCACCACCTCCTCCAGGAAGCCCCCTGACCGACCTGGGCCCCCAGGGCTGCTGCTGGAGGGGGCCGCCCTGGGTGGGGAGGTGAGCCCCCCACCGTGGGGATCCTCTGCCTCTGGAGCGCTCACAGGTGAGGTCGTAGGGGTCACTGAGGTTATAGGAATAGTGGAGGTCCCAGGGGTCACTGTGGCATTAGGTTCTTGGGGCTCCGTGTGGTTCTAGGAGGAGCCAAGGGCTGTGACAGCATCAGCGTGGGACCTGCTCCCCCCACACTCATGCCCTGTGGGGCGAGGTGGGGGCTGGTTGCAGCCCTGGGACTCAGAGTCCACACCTGGGCCCTTAGGTCTTGGAGTGGGGCCTGGGATCCCGTCCCTCTCCCACTGAGCCCAGCCAGTGGGATGGAACTGACTCAGGGCCTGGCACCACTGCCCTCGGATCCTGGGACTAGGGCAGCTGGGAGGCCTCAGAGGCCCCTATCCCTCACCCCCACCTCAAACACTCAGACCCAGCAGAGGCCTGGAGAGAGGACAGAGGTCCCTGGCTGGGAGTCCAGTAAGTTGGACCCCCAGGTTCCACCCCTGTCCCCGGGCAAACCCAGCACACCCAACTCACCCGATGGCCAGCTTTCACCACCCTGGGCCCCTCACCACGTCATACCCGGCCTGGCCTCAGCCCCAGGACCCATGTGGGCACAGGGAGCCCCAGGACCCAGTGCTCACCCTGCTAGCCTGGGGTTGGGCCCTGAGAGGCACCAGCAGCAGTAGCAGAAGCAGGGACAGTTTGGGCGAGGGGCAGGGACTGGGGACCCGGGCCCAGTGCCCCATGGCTCCTCCTGACTTGTTTGAGGGGCGACAGGAGTCAGGAGCAGAGCGGCCGGGGCAGGTGGAGTCAAGGCCACCTGGAAATGATTAACCCTGGCTGCCTCCATGCCAGGGCCATTATGTCCCCCACACCTGCTGCCCAGCACATCCTGCCAGGCCCAAGGGCCCTGCGGTCCCCTCGGGGCTCAGCCACACTGGTCCTGGTCCTGACAACATCCTTGGGTCTTAGCTCAGAAATCACCTCCACAAAATCTCCCAGGACGACATGGTGGGCGGGGCCTGGACTCCCAGCCCAGCCTCTGGGTCCTGCTGGGCTGCAGGGCTGGCCACTGTCTGTCTGTGAACAGTTCATGACCAGAGCAGCTACGTGTGCTCGGCTCTTTCTAGGGCCTGGCCTGGAGGATGGGGTGCTGGCCCATGACCAGCAAAAGGCCAGGCGGGGAGGAGGCTGGGGTGCTGGGCTGGGTGTTGCAAACAGGGACCCAGGATGGGGACCTCTGCTGCCCCGTCCAGGATAAGCCTGGGACGGGGTCCCCAGGAAGTACAACAGGGGGAGCAGGCCCAGAGCCACGCTGTGGTCTGCCCTGGCTCGGTGGTCCTCAGGAGCGTCCTCTCCCCACCTCTCCTAGACTCCCTCTCTGGTCCCCAGCAGAGCCCTGGCCAGGTACCCAGGGGCCACCAAGGGCCATCAGGACCTGGCTTGGGGTCCTGCCCTGTCCGTGAGCGCATGCTGCCCCTTCTGTGAACTGGGCTGGGCAGCGCCCTGCATGCAGGCTGCCTGCGCGGGGTGCAGAGGGGGCTGGCACTGCATCTGCTTCACTGTGTGCGCCCGGAGAGGGTGCTGGGCACGGCGGGTGCCGCCCCTCTTCATTCCTACACCTCCCCCGGGGCTGCTCCCTGGAAGTACCCAGAACAATCCCACAGCCTCACTGTGCTCCCCAGCTTCTGACAAACCCGGCAGGACAAGACCCCACCCCTCCCCCACCGACTGAGGAGAAAGGGGTGCAGGGGCCCCAGCATTGAGCTGTCAACACTGGGGTCCACCCAGGCAACCTGGGATGATGGTGCCGTCTCTATCTGCTTCAGCCCACCATCCACGGTGCCCCTGCCCCTGGCTGGCCACTGGTCCCCTCCTGACTTGGCTCAAGCCATTCTCTAACCAAACTCACTCAGCCTCAGGGCCTTTGCATGGCCCTGACATGCCTTCCCAGACCTTCTGCTCAGATAATCCCTCCACAGACAGGCCCTGCCAGACCAGCCTTCCCAGAGAGGCCTGGTCCCCACTGTGCTTGGGAGAGGACCCCGCACTGACCTGCAGGGGGCAGTGTGGACTGGACGGGACCAGGCCTGACCTGCGGGCTCCCTTCCTCAAGCCCCAAGAGCTGTTTCTTCTCAGCCCCTCCCCAACACGGTCCTGGAGGCCCCTGGCAACACCACCTCTCTGAGGACAGGGCCTGGGACCCCAGCACCCAGCAGGAGGCCAACGCTCAGGGGAGTCCTTGAAGACACTTTATTGAGGGAAGGCCGGATGCTAGGGGCAGGAGGGCCGAGGAGCCCTCTGTCCTCTCCTGGTTTGGCTTCCAAGGGCATGGTGGCTGAGGTGGCCCCTCCAAGGCCCTCAAAATGGGCTTGAGCTGCCCCTCTAGATCATGGGCCTTCATGTCCGTGTCCAGGCAGGCAGGCAGCTCAGATGGAGGTCAGGAGGCACAGGGGTCCACCGGGGGGCAGGGCTGCGGGCAGACTCAGACGAAGGTGGCGTGGTGCGGGCTGGCTTTGGGCTTAGCGGGCCCACCTGGGACAGGACTCAGGCCAGGGAGGTCTGATGCTGGGGGCCTGCTGGTCTGGGACCTCCGGGGGCCCGTCCACACCCCTGGAACCCTGCAGCCCAACCCTGGTGCAGAGCCGGCGACAAGGTCCACATCGATGATTGTGTTGACCGGGAGGCCTCTGCTGCCATGGGCCCCGCCTCCTGTCACAGGGAGAAGAGAGAGGCTGTCAGCTGTCTGCCCTGCGGCCCTGCGGACAGGTAGGGCAGGAGTGCCCACCCATCTGCCCTGCACAGACACTGGCCGTGGAAGGGGTCCTCAAATACCCAAATGCATCCCGAAGGCCGGCAACCTCTGACCTTAGCCTTGGCCTGGGTCAGCCACCCCCACCCCCATCCCCGCATGCCCAGACCAACCGAGCCCCTGGCAGATGCCATGCAGTGTGTAGCGGAGAAGGTCTCCAGGCTGAAGGCGGGGCACAGGCATGAAATGAGGGGAGGGCAGAGGCTGGGGCCCCAGGTACTGGGGCGTGCAGGACCCAGGTTCTGTGCTGTGGGACCTGGGGGAGCCCCTACTGGTCAAAGGGACATCCAGGGCTCCCTGGACCCTGCCTTTGTCCAGTCTGGTCCAGGCCAGCCGGAGCCCCTCAAAAGCTGTTCAGCACCTGGGCCCTGGCAGCTGCCTCAAGACGCCTGCCCTTGCCACCCCCCCACTCCACTCCTCCCTGCTGGCTCCCCCAGCCTGATGAACTGTCCCTTTAATAGGGCTGTAACTGGGAGGGGTGTGGGTTTGTGCTGCAGAAATGAGGGTTTCTGTGCCCCAGGGAGGGGCTGGGATGGCAGAGGAACTGGAGAAAAGGGGGGAGGGCTCCCAGGGCCCCGTGAGGGCACCAGGACTGCACAGAGGGATCTAGTTGGGCTCCAGTTGGCCTCTGGGCTGTGTGGCTCCCCCAACTCCTCCTGGGGGGCTGTCTATGGGGCTTGCCCTTATGCCAACGGGCCACTGGGGGAGGCGATAAGTGACAGGCCCGGGTGCCTGGGCTGTGGGGGAAGACCAAACACCGGGTGGGGCTGTTCCAGACAGGATCGGCCCTCGCCACCCCCACCCCCAGGCACAAGGCCTCACCCACAGACCTCAGACCAGATTCTCCGAGGGACGCAGCTCCCAGGCCAGTGGTGGGCAGAGGCGGCTGCCAGCCTGCCCAGCAGCCCCTGCCTCACCCCCAGGAGTCCTTGGGCTGCCAGAACTGCCTTGAAGCACCTAGACCCTGGGGTGGGCTGCCCTAACAACGTGCCAATCACCTCCGGGAGGCCCACCTGCCCCTGGAAGAGAGAGACCTGTCTCCCAGGTGCAGTCCCCAGGGACCAGCATGGGGTGGGCACTCAGCTGATGCTCTGGGCCAAAGCTCCCTCCACCCAGCTTCCCTGGCTCACCCCCAGGATGGGGGCTGGCTGTGCCACCCAGGTTAGGGATGCCAGGGCCCTGGCATATCTATAGGGGTATCAGTGTCGAGGAGCTTAGGACTGAGGACTCCTAGGTGCCCATGCGGGGGGCAGGGGAGCCCCGGCCCACGACCCACAGTGAACAGGCTGGAGGAGACCTGCCCTGCTGACTACTCCTCCCTGGGCCTCAGTTTCCCCATCCTGGCTGCAGGAGGTGAAGCTGCTGCTCCCTCCTTGGGTCCGAGGCCTCTGAGTGAGTGGGGCGGCTGTGGGTCAGGAGTCTGTGCATCCCCAGCTGCTCTGTGGCCCCAAAGTCCCCAGGCCCCACTGCACCCCAAGCCTCCATGAGTGCCTCCACGCAGCCTCCCAGGGCAGGTCCTCTCAACAAGTCCATGGGGGCACAGAGGGCCCCTCTCTGGCACATCAGCGTCAGGGTGCCCTGCTCACACGTGTCCTCCCCCACCTCACATGGGGCTGCAAGGGCCAGGTGTGTCCTATTCAAACAATGGGAAAGGTTTTCGGAAAAGCTGCTCCTCCTGAGGTCCAAAGGTCCAGTCCTTTAGTCATTCAACACACGTTCCGCTAGGGCCTGCCTACTGGGATCCACCAGGTCCCAGCTTGTCACTGGGTCCCCATGCTCCAAACGGCAGCTGGAGGGCGGGAGATGTGGGGGCTGCACTTCAATTTAACTTCAGAGTGTGGAGGGAGAGAGGGCAGGGTTTGCCTCGGGTCCTCTGCCCCTTTTGGGGCACTTGTCTGGAGCAGTAAAGGACCTGTGACCCCACACAGGTTCAGGAGCCTGGGAAGACAGAGGCCTGCAGGGGGCAGGGTCAGCCCAGGCCCCCAAGCCCAGGACAGGTTGGCTCAGGACAGGAGAAATGCCTGTTTCCAGCACAGGGCAGCTGGTGCACAGGCCAAGGACGTGAGCATCTCAGGGAGGGTGGCCGAGGTCCACGCCCTTCCTGCTTGTCTGGCACAGATTTGCTTTCTGAGTAATTGGCAGCCCCAGACCCATGACTCAGTGGCAGGGGCCCAGCCCCGTGCAGCAGACAGCACCACGGTCTCGTGCCAGGGCCTGCCCGGAGCAGCTGCCTGCCCGGCTCCCTGGCAGGGATGGCAACAGAGGACCCCACAGTGCTCAGGCGTCACCCTTTCCAAAGGGAGCCTGGTTCTGCTTGTGTCTGTGTCCATGTCCCCTCCAACACCAGAAGTGAGACGGGCTAGGATCTCGTCTCCTGCCCCTCAGGCCACCCCATTTCCCCAGGGCTCCAGAGCTCCTGACCAGCTGACCGGCCCCGAAGGGCCCTATTGGAACGCCCACTGCCATCGGGGCCTGGGGAGCCCCTGCCCTCTGCCCGCTGGTCAGCCCACGCCATCCCTGCTGCTGCCTGCCGTCTGTACTCTGGGCCATTCCTTCATTTGTCCACCAGCATCCTCTGCACCGGCTGCCACATCTGCTGTGGTCCTCAAGACTCCGAGTCAGGAGAAGGTGGGGGTGGAGTCAAGACGCAGGGGCAACAGCAGGGACGAGAGCAGACGGCCGAGGACTGTGCACCCAGAGAACCAGTGTCTTCAGGGAGAGGGGACCCCAGGCAGCACCCCACGGGCTGGGGGGCAGCCCCTCGCTCGTCACTGCCGTGCACACTGCTGTGAGTACCTGGGCGCATCTGCCCAGTGAATGGTCTCTTTTAAAGCCACCATATTAGGTGAACCCACTGGAGTCCCTAAAAATGTGTAATATTTCCCTGGAGTAAAATGCACCTATAGTTTGCTAAAGTGGAAATAAATATTCAAGTGAAAAGAAAGTTTAATCAAGTCAAACAATGAGCTCTGGAGTTTATTCCTCTTGGAAGAACACAGACTCAGACGCGGGACACCACACACAGGTGTGCATGGGAGGAGCAGAGAAGTCCCGCAGGTGTGCGGAAATGCGACACGCATGCAAACCAGGCTCCTCCAGCCTCGTGGGGGCACTGTCTCGGCGGGAAGGCCTGGGCCTGTCCCACACAGCACATGCTCCACATGCCAGCCGCGCACATGTACAGGACGCAGGGACAATGCCCCCCTCCCTGCAGCTGCAGGTCCCAGGGCAGGACCCAGGCTGCTCTCGGACCCTGGACTGGCCGAGCCAGTGCAGAGGGCAGCCCCCAGGGTTCTGTCAAAGTGTGCATGGACAAGGCTCCCTGTCCTCCCTGCGGGCGTGGTGGGGACAGTCACAGGTCATGGCACTAGTGTGAGCATGGGGGGAGCAGAGCCTCCTGGAAGCCCCTCTGGCAGGAGGCCAGGAGCCTCGCTTCAGCCTCTAACCTGTGGCTCCAGGAATAGTCCCCGCCCCCAGCCGTACCCTGCGCCAAGTTCAGTGAACACACCAGACTTGCACTTCCTTCCAGAAGTTCAGAAAAGCCTGTGGCTACCAGGGGGCGGGTCGGGATACCCCAAGGAAACCTTCAGGTGCCCTGGTCCCGAGCCGGGCCAGGCGCACAGGGCGACACTCCCGTGGAGGGGCTCCAGGTTCGAGAGAGGGGTCCTCCTAACCACCTGGCGTCACTGACTTCTCAAGGCAAGTGCTGTTTTCAGTCTCGAGACAAACACTGAACATGCCGTCTCTCCACAGGTTAAACGTAACACACACTCTCGGGAGTCGCGGGGACCGAGGGAGGGGGTGAGGAGAGGACCGTGGTCAGTCTTGCACAACACGGGCACAACTGCTGGAGGCCCCGTGGCCCATCCTACCACACTCTGCCTCAGCTGCGCCTGACACCTCCTCGTAGACAAAGCGGAGCAACCCACCGTAACCACGGTAACTGAGAGGGGACGACATGGGAAAGCCTCTTTACACGGACGATCACGGGCAGAGGGTCAACCTACCACAGCTGTGTCTTTTTATTGGGGACCAG